CTCTTACTTAACTAAAGCCTCTCTAAATAAACGTAAGCTGAAGTATCAACTACGCAGACAACAACGGAGCTTTATTGTCTTGTGCCTGCCTTTTAGCAGCGTGGTAGGCGCGTGTACGTGTAGCTGCTTGCTCGGCTCCGCTAGGTGCCCTCCCTGACATTTCCCTCTCTATATAGGTAGAAATATTGCACTTTTAAGGGGTTGCGCGTAATAGAAGCTTACACTTTCAAGGTTATATTATAGCACTTCTAAGGTAAGATAACCTACGCACGGGCCAATTTTTAATCATTTTTGATGACGAAGTCTCTAACCTAATATATATAGAGTTAGACGAAGTGCTTTTACTCTTATCAAAGGATAAGTAGAGTATGGAGTGGAAGGAGATATACAAACGTTTTCCAGATCGGACGCCTGGCGCAGTGCAAGTGCGCTACTATATGTTGCACAAGGACTGATAATGGTATTGTGCAATAGCTCGAGTAGGGGCTTGGTGAGACAATTGTGAACAATCGCGCAAGCTTGAGGAACTTCCGACCGGATAGAAACTTCGAGAATAGCCCGTTTGCCATACTCGCACAGAAACATCAACATCCCGCGACCTACCTACCTCCCCCATCACCCCTCGTGACGCGCATCTCGAACACATCCGCCCGCTGGAGCGCAAGCTCGCCAGCTGCGCCCATGGCCACCGCACGGCGCAACCCCAGCCACGAGAAGCGCCAGCCAGTTGGACGTTGTACCTGGGCAAAGCGCACCTGTCAACAGTTCAAACCATCTGTTCGACTTAAATTTCATGTCAACAGTCTCTGGTGCATGTTGCGAGCTGTGTATTTGGTGATCGGCTCCACCTTGTCGTCGAACCAGTTCGTCTTCCAGCTTTGGCTTTCTTCGAGCGCTGGCCATCTTGCACACGGAGGCATAGGGTATACTCGCGCTGCGAGGTTATGGAAAGGTGAGCGATAATGGAACCCTGTCAGCGTGGCAGCGTACGAAGTATCGGTGGGGTTGCGTGTGCAAGTGGCAGATCGCTTCGTCCATGATCTGCTTGCACGGTGTGTCGGTGGCTGCATGCCATGGTGCGCACCGTACGTGAAGCTGCAGTACCGAAAGAGACCGTACTGCTGAATGTAGTCCGTCGCGCCAGACATAGTCGTAGACGAGGTCGCGCACCTTGCGCAGTAGGTGGGTAAAGAATGGCGCATTGCAGGGCGTCTGTCTAGCGCCAGAGGGTTAGTAGAGGTCACCGGCGAGCGAGGGAGGTTAGGATTATGTGACGGCGCGTGAACGCCCATACCGGATGTTTGCGCAGGCGGTGCGCGGGCGCTGGGTGAATGACAACGTGCCCAAAGATCTCAGACGGAGGCTGCAACTAATCAAACAAAAGCACGGTACGGTAATGGAAGGACACATCAACGGGAGATCACACGATATACTGTACGAATAGATCGAGTCGTGCCCTATGTCGTGGCGACGTCTTTGACTTTGCTGTGGACCTTCTCACGGCAGCTTACCCTTCGGCCCCAATGTACCGGTTCTCGCTCTTGCCAGCTTTGACTTTATCTGATTGATACCCCAGTCATTGCCCATAGGTATAGCCTCATGAACTCTGCCACCATCCTTGCAGGCTCGCTAATGGGGCCATGAGTTCACCAAGGTGTTTTGTTACAGCACCTTGCGTATCAAATGTACCCCTGATTGGTTGGAGAAAGAAAAGAGACACAGGTAAGCACTGGAAAAGGATGCGTTGAATAGCATGAGTCATCAAGAGCTGGAACGTATTCATGCTGAGGATCACGCACTCCGCGTCAAGTCGTTTTCTAATAGGAAAGGCTCGTATGAGGAACTAGGCTGTGCATGAAAAATAAGACAGGATCGATTGCGGTAATGAAAGGTTTGATTTGTGTCGGGTTTGGGCTCAGAAATATGAGGAACTGTAAAGGCCGTGTATTAAGATGAAAAGAGAATGCCATCCACTGAGATATTGGACAAAAACATGCTTCGCATGCTCGTCCATCCTTCACGTGTGCTTATGTAACCAGGTTACGGGCACTACAGGAGCTTCCCGGTACTATCCTGGTGTATATGGTCAGTGGTGATCCTCTTGTCATTTGCGTCTTTGAAACGAATGGAGAGGACCGGCTGGTTATCGTTTAAGATCGTCATGGGACTGGTGCTACTTGCTTTCCTTGATCTCTGCCTTCGTGATGGCTGGATTCTAAATCATATAAGCAAGTTTGTAGCTAGATAAGCGTTGCGTATCGATATATATCTTTCTTAACCTTTTCGCAGAATGCTTAGACTACTGTGGCGCTCTAGGTATCGAGTTTATTAAGGGTGACAGAGCTAATATACTAGATAAGTCTGCGGGATGAGGCTTGTATATTAGAAGTTGCGATGGTGTACTAGTAACGTTTAGAGGGATAGTGAAGGATGTTGTGATGTGCTTGATAATGAATGTTGATTAATGAGAATAGGCATGATTGATGGACGGCAACCTCTGCTCTCATACTCTCAGTTCTTGGACTTCGCAACACTGAGCTCTTAATGCTGTGCCACAACAGTTTGAAGCTTCACTCCAAGTAGAATCCAATACTTGCTAAAATAGCAAGAGCGTCACTCTTTCCTCCGTCATTCGCTCGAGCGACTTCAGTCACATCCCAAATGTGGCTATGAAGAAGTGGCACCAAGTCAGAATGAGACATTGTGGGGTGAGAGGTTGACGCGCGTGTGCTCTGAGTCCGACTGTTGGAGAAGTTCAAGAATAGCGTAACAAGCGTAGTCCGCGTGATGGTGAGACAGAACTTTGTTTTGCTAGCGTCGTTGTCATTGACCGTGCTAGGCATCAGTGCGGCCAACATGCCTTTGGACCGTCACACTAACTTCCCACAATGATATAGTGTCTTTACACCATGCTGAGATTTTGTCAACGCGCATGTACTCGCTTCAAATTTCCCTCTCACATCTCCAGAATTTCGCGCTTCCAGAGTACGAAAATGAATGCCAGCGAGCTTTTCGAGGAGGAGCGCCTTCCGTGGTATAGCCATGATCAGTTTTATCCAGCACGACCTGGTGAGATTCTCGATTCTAGCTTTAAGATCATAGGAAAACTCGGTTATGGTGCATACTCCACGGTTTGGCTGTGTCGGGATATCCGGTATGTTTGGCGTTCTTCACCCCAACCTACCCTCCAAAGTCTGATCATCCATGCAAAGAGAACGAGACGCTGGCTTTTTCGCTGGCTTCGTCGCTGTCAAGATTTGTACCCGAGATGCCGAAAAGACCCCACAACTCAATCGAGAGCTAGATTTTTACGAGCATATCAGTTCTATGCAATCACAGCATCGCGGCCAAGCATACATCCGCGGACTGTATGGGGAATTTGAGCTCGACGGTCCGACTGGCAAACATTTGTGCTTTGTTCATCCACCCATGCACATGACTATTCGACAGCTCCAGTATTACAACCCAGCACACAAGCTCGACGTTCCGCTTCTGAAGTGCACGCTAGCCAATGTGCTAAAGGCGCTGTCGTTCTTACACGACGAAGCTAAGGTCGTGCATACAGGTACGGCAAGATGATGCAACATGATTGAATCAACTGACAAGTTAGACATCAATCCTGGAAATATCATGCTGACTGTGGATGATGACACTATTCTGGAAAACTTCGAGAAAGCTGAAGCAGAGAACCCGTCACCATCCAAAGTGATTGACGACACACGCACCATTTACAGTTCCCGTAAGCTTCCCCATCCTACGGGTAATCTTTGGGGCCAACCAGTTCTCTGTGACTTTGGAGAAGCGCGGATAGGAGATTCCCACTCCGGCTTAATTCAGCCTGAGCTATACCGTGCACCAGAGATAATTTTCGAGATCGAGTGGGGCTCCAAGGTGGACATTTGGAGTGTCGCCACGTTGGTAAGTATTCAATACTATTATAAGGAAGTCTTAATGACTTACTCTTGATTAGGTGTGGGACTTGTTTGAAGATGAGCATCTATTCGACGCCCGTGACAATGAGGGCAACCCATTAGAGACACATCATGTTTCCGAAATGGTTGCATACCTTGGAATGCCTCCGCTTGAATACACGCAAAGCAACAATATGACAAAGAAGGTCTTCGACAAGCAAGGTTAGTCGTTGAGATCGTCCCGACATAGACTCTGCTAAGTTCAATAGGACACTGGACGGGTGGCTCCAAGAGTGTAACTATTCCTAAGATCTCACTCGAGGGAAGAGTCTCGGTGCTTGAAGGGGAGGAAAAGGAATTGTTTCTCGATTTCATACGCATGATGCTCAGATAGCGGCCGGAAGACAGGAAATCGGCGACTGAACTCCTGAAGCACCCATGGATGGCCGACACTATATAGTTGCGACGACGATCAAGCAGCCATTGCACTGCAAAGCCATTCTCGCGCAGTCTTTGTATCAGTTACATGTTTAGGATTGTTTTACAAAAACATATGCTTCTTCACTTCACTTCCGGGCATTTCATGTCATCATCGCCGACCTAGCAGTTGGTCTGGCCGACTTTAGCATCCGCACATGATATCGACAGTCTGGACCTCACTCGTTTTGCTCCCGACTGTCGGCTAATTCAATCCGCGCAAAAACCCCTTTTGTCGTTAAGTTGTACGTGTCCGGAGCTTAGATATCGTCGTCCTTGAGCAATAGCATGAGTGGGGGCAGCGCCATTGACAAGAACACCTCCGCGCCACAAGTTAAAGAGCTCAAGCATATAGAAGACATCCAGAACACCTCGCGAGAAGAATAAGTACATCGATACTGCAGAGCTTGATGACAAGCTTCGAGAGCTCATTAGGAACATTCAACCCGAGCTATACCCCGGAACTATCCGCCTTGCAATCGCAAGACCACAAATCGATTGCGCTGCACAACAATCTGAAGCACGTCCAAAAGTGTAGAGCTATTGTGGTTAGGAACGATGATACGTGTGCTGGCGGCATCTCCACGGATCTCTCTAGCAGATGGTTTTCTTTTTGCGTTCGTGTAATCTGCAGATTCATTGATCAAGGATCTTGGTTGCCTGTGTACCCGCACGTGACTGATCAGCCTGGTGTTAAGAGTATACCTCGAGTGGAAGTAATATAAGACTTCTAGTGTTAAGACCCTTAGGTAAGTTTTTGTAGATAAAGTAATAGGGTGTTATAACTAAGATTAGGAACGCCGCTTGCTCAATAAAGCCGCGTGCGAAAAGCGGAAGCTGCAAATGCATGAGAGTGTACATTACGTCAGATGGATCCGGTTCTGCGTTTCCCGTGGTCGAGTGCTTTGCTCCTGTTTCCAGGTTCTTTTTCTCGCCACCATGGCGCTCTGCAGCTTAGCTCGTCTGTGGTTAGCCTTACCACAATATATAATTGAGCATCTCCCTGCTAGTATGGACACTGACCCGCCGTGCAATGCCCTCCTCCTTCGTACCTACGGTCTTGACCACAACTAAGAGAGTAAGCTGGATTACCGAGGTCGCATGCTAGCTTGAGCGCTAATAATGCAGTTAGATATACGAGAGATTCGAGTTAAGACATTGACTTCCCACATTAATCTGGCGCTTAAGAAGCCCACTCTATATATCTTGCACCCCGCTTGCGCCGGCACTCGAAGCATTGGCAATAAAGAAACAAAGGCACACTAGTAGACAAATAGTATTACATATGCGAGCCGCACTCTCTATCTTCGCTTTTTATGCGGCTACTATACTAGGCGATGCAGCAATAAAGCTGCCTGCACTACCCTATTGTCTACTACTTGCTCTGCCGCCTAATTCAGAGCCCTATCCCGCGGTGCATGAGTAACAAATATCAGCAACACCACAGGTATAGCCTGTGCATGTATAGCCAAAGCAGCAACCATCGTCGTATGAACAATCATGCGATGGATTACAATCTTCTAGAACGGACATTAGACAAGTATTTCGAAGCATATTAGTTGGGACCAAGAGCCCAACTGTAGGAGGAAGCTGGACGTACCACCGAGTAGGGAGCAAGCCGCAGCACAACCAAAATTTGTTGATGCCGGGTCGCGGGCACGAAGGCTGGGGTTTTTAGAGACAGACGCAGCGTTGGCGAGAGCCGTATAAATTAGAAACAAGGCGACCTTCATTGTGGACAGACGTTCGTCTTGAAATAATTGTCTTAGGATTGTCGATATTGGTATTTGAGGTTAAGGTGTTGCGATGGTAGTGGGAAGCAGAATGGTCAATCACAACTTCCAAGGACAGTCCATTTTATATTCTTCCGTCGTCTACAAAGACTTGAGACGGTCCGATATCATTCTAGCATACCTGGACAGTCCTTGTCCCGTATCTACGAGGTTACATGGGTACGTAGTAGTTGAAAAAGATACCATTAGATTACAATTTATCGCCCGGCTTCCTCGCCTCGGCGGAAGACTAGCCCTCCTTGCAACGGCCCAACATCCGGTTCGGCATTGCCTGTCTGGACTTCGTATTCCGTCCCTTGTTAACGGCACATAACTACAATATCGACCAACACTCGCATCTCACGTCAGTGCTCGCATAATCGCATCTCAACTCATCGTTCGCACCTGACCTCGACAATCGAGATGTAAGGTTGGTATGTAGCAGTGTATAGGGCGCCCCGAGCGACACTCACTCGACGTGCCAAAACTAGTTCTTGCCTCCCGAAGGATGATGAGAAGTGCGTGCTTATATGCTGCGCGGAGCATGCGCGGCACCAGCCGTCATGCCTGACAGCCTCACGCCCCTTGCCTGTACCAAGGCCCTGCGCCTAGTGCGCCCTTGGGTCTTACATGTGACTAGCTGAATGGGGGGAAGCCTAAAAGATACGGAAAAAGCCAACGCGGAACAAAACGGGACATGAGGGCTCAAACTAGCCTATATCAGCCTAAAATAAGGGTGAGCGTCTGGTTCCTACCTGCTTTGAGTGCGGAAAACCGGGCTATAAATAAGAGGACTGTAAGCAGCCTAGTACTATACAGAACCCCTCGAATCTATTGGAAGATAAGGCGGGAAAAAGTAAGAGGCGGAAAGTATAATAGCCACACTTTGGGCCCATATCCGCGAACTATCTAAAACCAGGTATACTAAGTCCTCAACAGAGTTACTTCTGTATATAGTTAGTGCATGCAACAGTTTACCTAATACAACACCCGCAACAACTATGGCAGCCTATTACTAATAAGGCTGTAGATCTTAGAGCACAGGTTATTAGGTTAGATTAGTGTTACAAGTAACAAGAAGGATTCTCTTCTTAATAAAGAGATAGGAGGTAAAGAGCCTATAGACGTTTACGTTGGAAGGTAATAATCAACGCGAGGCGTAAGATCACGTAACGTAGCATCTTACCATGAGGTAACATCTCGCTAAGAGGGCAGATGCTATAATATTAGAAGATACTAGAGACATCAATATATATTAGGATTAATAATTATTAGTAGATATTGTTCTACGGCCTACGCATTATACTCTAGGTATTAAGTAACTCGCTAAATTAGGAAATTCCTAGATATTATCTAGTATAATAGTAAAATATAGTCTAAGTAATTAATACCTACTTAATTATTACGATCTAAGGCTAGCTACTTATAAGTAGTGAGTTTAGAGAATCTAAGAGGATAAGCTATGCTACAATCCTTTAACTATACAATAGTTACGTAATTAATTATATATAATTACTTTAATAGCTAATTAGAACTACGCCTACTACCTAATCGTCTATAATTACTATATTAATTATATATAATTACTTCTACTTCTTAGTATGTATCTATCTCGTAGACTCTCTAGACTATAGACACTTTAACTATAAAACCTTTAACCCTATACTCGCCATATATATCTAACCTAATAGAATAGAGCTAGATTCTAAAAAAGATTAACTAGGCTAGTGGCAATTTCGCGCTAATAGGTGCTGTTTTTACCAACTCCCGTACTGCTATACGAGAGGCGGAAGACGCCCTCCGCTATTCTGCTAGAAACTTCTACATTAGTAAGTTTTTAGCCAACTATTACTCAACGTAGTCGCTAATGAGTCATTAGACTACAAAACCACCGCCGCGCTCATCGGTCAGCGGAGCTTCGGTGGAAGTCGCGCAAGTGGTACAAACGATAAGGCTGGCTCTTCAAACCCTATGTTCCGCTTCGTTTCTCCACGTCAAATCAAAGAAGAGTTCTTCCCTGTCTTCGATTACCGGTATCCTTCGAACAATTGATTCGCATTTATCGTGGAAGTCAGAAACCGCAGCACGCATATGTGGGAGGAGGTTAGGCATCCTTTGTCCGGAACCAGCGTTTCGGTCGGCGTTTCTATCATATGAAGATAATCGAAGGTGCGCAAGCTCAATTTGCAAGACGGATTCATGGTAATACAAATACAAGCAGTTTTAGGGAAAGATCAATTGTGCAATATACTGTGATGCGTTCGCCTGATGGTGCTCACCTAGCCTCATGACGCCAATGGATGAGTGTTGATTACATGGTATCTCCAGTACTAGTATAATGTGGTTGAAATTATCATTAGCCCTTTTGAGCGCACAAATTGCTACAATACAAAACGCTAGCAACACATTTGACGTTAGCAGAGTTACCCATCATATGCTAGCAAGTTCTTTCCTTTTCCACATTGGCAAAGATAGTTATATCAGTACAAACAGGATTTATAGGCCCGTCTCGTAATACTTCATCTCAACAGAAGTTCATTGTTCAAATCAGACAACATCTTCCAATTTAGAGATGTAATATGACATCATGTCACTTCTCTAACAAACCTCTTTAATAGCTTAATCCTCATATCGCTTCAAAACTACACACAAGTCTAATATAAATGCTGGACCGCAACTATGTTCAAATGCATTACGCCTGTCCTCTAGGAATTTCCTAGGAGTTAAAGATGTTACCAAGTCCTGACATTCGCGATTACGTGAATATAATACGGAAGAGTAGAGTATCTCTTCGGGCCTAATTAATATCTCATATCCATTAGACTACAGTGACTTTCTAGGCGCTTTCTGTTTTGGTCGATTCCGTTCTACTCCAGCCAATCCTTTCCAACCTTCTTCTTCATCCTTATGTCTGATTTCACATCTTCTTTGCAGGCTTTTCCAGTGAAATATGCCGCGAATGGGGTTGCCAAAACGCCCACGAGTGCAAGAGGTGCTACAGGGGTAAATAGCAATGCTCCACTAACAAAGGCCACCGCGCTCCCAGCTGAAGCCCCGGCAACTGCGCCAGCTGAATAGGCCGCTAGCCGTTCCCTATCTCGAAGGATTATCCCCAGCCCTCTACATTGAAAATCTCCAGTGACTTCAAGCTTTGCATACACATAAGGGTTGCCATCTGAGTGAGTCTGGCCAGAAATACGTAAAGGCAGGATGGCTGGTGGTACATGAATTGTTTCGTCGATGCGGTACTTATGGGCGGATGGGAGTAGCACGTGCAGGACAGCGTTTGATCCAACAGACTGCCGGGTATAAAGAAGCGACATACCAAGCTCGTTCAGATCGTTGAAGCATCCGATGAATTCCATTCTGCCTTGTAACCGGTTTTGGATAGCAGCGAACGATTCGGAACCAGGGTGATATACAGCAAAGTAGTGTTGCCCGGCAGGGTCACACTTGCTAGTATTTCGGACTTCGTCTTCGAACATGTGAATGACGTGATCAGGAAACTTCTCCTGGTAGGCAAGGTTCGCCATGGTGTCTACTGCTTTGGCAATGAATTTTGTGCTCACTCCGATGTCCTTCATCACTTGATCCGCGGCAAAGACTTTTCCTGCAATTGCTTTAGCGGCCTCTGTAGTGACCACCATGCTAAGTTCGGCACCCATTTTGGCGATGGTCTAAGATTTATTGTCTGTTTCCAACAGTCAGTTGCTGCCTATGGTGTTGGTTTCGCCAAAATCGTACTTACCAACACGCAGATAATGTGTTCAGGTTCTAAGGCTTCAGGTATTACTTATTGTTTATTAAGTGGTGTTCGAGTGCTGAAAGAAGTTAAGGTTTCTGGTCGCGCTCCAGGAAGCAGATGAGGTGATGAAAGGTTTTTTTTTGATATTGGGGTGGAACTTATATAGTAAAGGAAAGTGGCAAGGAAAATAAGTTTCGACAACTGTGCCACATGAGCGCTATACGCCTCACAACCCGTCAACCTCCAAATCCTTCAATCATAGAGTGGCCTCAACTGTGCCTAAGGCGGCTGCACTGATAGACGTATCGACGTGTTCTACGGGCTGGTGTTGAGGCGGAGTCTGCATGCAAGTGTATTGGCTTTTTCTTTTTCTTCAGCTAACAACTCAGCGCGGAGTCTTCCCTGCTAAAATTTAACGCAGGTCAGCCTGCTGTGTCGTTTTTCCCAATACAGGCATTCAGTAGCGAGTCTGCATAGCCCAAAAGAGGCTGAGCCACGTATGTGACCAAGCGCCACATCTTGGTCATGCGACGGAGCTTCAGGTTGGTGTTTAGTGAAAATCAATATCCTCTCAATTCTATTGCTGAAACTCAGGGATGCATAAAGTTTCGGTGTAGCAAGTCGAGTACTGTTATGATGTGGGACAAGAGGTTCAAAACGAATAACCGTGTGGAAGAATGTAACCAATATTTAGTTGCCATATGATATTAGCGTAATTTATCTTGAGAATTCCACAGAGGAGTGACGCATAGGTCATCGCATTATGGCTGAAGACCAGGGGCTGCAAGACTAAGCATGCTTTTCCGTACTGAAAGAATGGCGAAAAGGTTAAATAAAGGCCTAAGGCTGTGTAGGTTGTAAGTGTTTTAGGAGACAAGCCCGTGCTACCGAGTGAGTTTCTATCCGTAAGAATCCTGAATAAGGAATGTACTCGCCCTCACAATTGGTTGATAGTAGCACACTAACATGGTGTGCTCGGGAGCCGGGTGTCCTGACTAACTTTGAAGCTGCCTTATGCGCAAAGAAAGAGTCCAGACATGGTGTGCTATAGCTCTAAGCCACCTCACGCGTGGAGAGTCTTGGCCACCTCGACTGTCTTGGACTTCTCAACCATTCGGGAACAACCCAAGACCAAGCTTCTATCATTTATAACATTTCGCCAGAAGAGCAAGCCTGACGTTGATACCTACAATCCAATTGAAAGCGGGCGAGTTGCCTCGACCGTAAGGATCCGTGTATATGTGCAGCTTTCCGTGCGAATGTCGTGACCGTTTTATTGGCGGGCAGAAAAGTAGACTTCCTTCTACCACAGCTAAAGGTGATTATGAACAGGTCAGCCCGGGCCTCCAAAAAGGCCACCGTTTCCCTCGCTACCGCCTTTTTGCGCCGCTTCGCGCTCCTCAGCCACCGCCTCGTTTATCGCGGGAGGGTCGATAGCCCTTTGACTCTTCTCTCCACCACCATCTTCGCTACCCGTCGCCGACCACCATAGCTTCTCTTCGCCTCGATCAAGCAGCGGGATCCGATGCGCGGGATCTGTTAGGTCGCGGTTAGAGAAGTGCCCCAATAGTGTGTCCGCCTAACCCAGCCGGTCTTAGGTACACTATCTGTCGTCGCCTCGTGAGCGTCTATGACCTACAGATACTCTTCGTGCGCTTGCTTTATCAACCCTCAATGATGTCAGTTATCTCGTAGGAAACGCCAAGCGCACCGTCGCCGCTGTTGTCTGTTACATTCAGCCGCAGCTGAACTCTCGATATGTGAAACCTGTCCTATCACATCAATCCCCAAGCTTCATCTATACCATTCACATGTGTGCAAGTTATGCCCAGACTTTCTACACTGCCATCAAGTAGCTACAAGAGTCAAGTGTCCATATCCTCTGCCTTTAGTTGGCGAAATCCCTACTACTAAGACACTTGACAAGTGAATCAAGCCACAGACAAGGTCCCAATCCTCCCCCAAAAACAATTATTAGTATATCAATTTTTAGCGAGAGATCGCCGAGAGATTGAGCCCCCTTCTAGGGTACACCGCCGCATCCAGTCCTACCATAATTGGGAATATTTAAACTAGAAGCTCCTGCCTTCAACAGAGTAAATTACAGCTAGCAACCTCTTGTGTAAACTTCGTTGGCGGAAAACTCTTTGCTTATTGTTGCGTGTTCGCTCGCAATAAAAATACTCGTTCTTGACAGCGACTTAATCGTCACCAATGCGGTTCTTGTGTTTTGTCGGTATCCTCTTCGCCCTTACCGGAATTTCGTTCGGGTCTTTATCAGGGAATGGACCTAAGCTTCTCGTCGATTTCGCTTTGCAGGCTGGGAACGCTGTCCCTGGAGCTATAGAAGATGCAAAAGAATCCAGTATGATAACATCTTCGCCCACTAATAGCGAAACACAGTTCTAATATATTTATTTTAGAAGGGGTAGACGGAATGCGAAGAAGTGCTTACCAATATATCTACGCAAACCAAAACCGTCCTCCAGTCGCAGCAGGGCGAGCTGTGATCACCCCTGCGCCTATAGCCGCTCTACAACAGCGTCAAACAAGCTCCGAAACAGTCTGCGGTAGCGATGACCTGGCTTGCGCGTCCTGCCACCAAGCAGTAGCCACCATAGACGTCTGTGCCCCCGTCTTCTCCTCCTGGGGTATCGAGAACCCTACCTATGAAGACGCCGCTCTCTGCCTGTGTATCGACTGGCCAAGCATAGATAACCCGCAATGGGTCGGTGAAGCATTTGATGGTCCCTTTGCTGCATGTCCCGCCTTTGCGAGCACATCGGTACCAACTCTTGCTGCGGAATTAGCGAGTATCACCGGGTTCTGTTCCTCGGTGTACGATGTTGCGGTGAAGGCTGAGATGACCTCCGATTTTGTGACTGCGACGGCCCAAGCAGAGCCTACCAGAACTACTGCTACTTTGGCTGCGACAGAAACTGGTTCTGCTCTTCGGAGCAGAATAAATGGGCGTTTAATGGTAAGTATAGAGGAAACCACAGTAGTGCTTACTCTAACTATCGAAAGACGCCTATGTTGATTATAGTGGCTTTTGTTATAACATAACAGCCTTGCGATGTATTGATGATACACTGATCCCGTCGCCGTTGGTCCCTGCTAGCTTCTAGGTGGAGCGTTACGTTCACTCAACGGAAATCTTGCGAGAGCTCTTTTGCAAGGTGGTCGAGCAATTATATTCCGCTATTAGTACTATGAAGCTACGGAAGTGGGTGAGGGTAAGCGCAACTTCGAGGAAAAAAAATCAATTTTTTTTTAGCTTAAACGATAGAGTTAAACGCTAGGAATTCAACGGTACAACTCTTATTTTAATGTGATAAGTCGTTGTTAAGTTATTGAGAAAAGAAGGTAGAAAAAGGGGGTTTTCGCGCAGAATCGCGCTAGTACTAAAAGAGTTATATAGCTTCAGCGCTAGTCTTAAAGAGTTATTTAGCTTTAACGCGCTAGTACTAATTAAGAACTTTAGCTTATTTCTTCTTATATCGCGCGAAGAACTTATTGTAATTAACTCCTTCCTAAATAGGAAATAGACCTTACTAAGACCTTACTAAGCCTACCTACTATTATCTTAGTTAGTACCTTAACATACTTTTTTTCTTAATTATTTTTTTAATTTTTAAATATTTACTTAATATTTTTTTATTAAATTATAATTATTTTAAAT